TAACAGATAGAGAATTCCTAGGTACTAGAAACAGTATGTTTCCATAATACAAGAAGCATAGTGGCAATGCACAATAATAAATGACTATCCAATTTTTTCACCTTTTTAAGACCCTATAAACGGATAGAATAATCATCTCTTCCGAAAGAATTATCTTCACTGCCGGATCCTAAAGTTCCATTAAGAAAATATTATACAAATAAAATGATACCAATTTTAATCTTTTTAAATATTTCTTTTCCTATATACGTTAAATAAAGATAAAAACATCCCTGTCTATGGGTTTAATTCAATGCATAGTAATAAATTTTAAATTATCTTATTTCAAAGAAAAAACAACTCTATTTTATAGGAATCATATTAAAAAGAAATGTTATAATAACGAAAACATATTCAAATAACAATTCAGGCATTCTTATCATTAATAAGATATTTTTAAGAAATCAAACTCTTCAAACCGATATAATTTTGAAAAGCAAATTATAGATCAATTATCCTAAACTCCAAATCCATACCAAGTCCACTTTTTTGCTTAAAAAATATATAATATAATATTTTTGATTTGCAGTATATAATATATAACATTAGAGTAATAGAAATTCAATATTAAAAATAAAAGTTAATGAATTAAACTTTTTAAGAGAAGGAATTTCTAGCTGACATCTTTGCTTAAGTTAAAGGTGTAGATTAACAAATATTTGGTGTCACTTTAGAAATATTTCGAAAGGAAAAAGTTTAAGACTGCATTGGATATCTTTCAAATAATGGAAATCAAAGACATTTAGAGTAATAAATCTTACAAGGACTGAATTTTTCGCAAATTAAAAATGAATAGAATTTGTATGTGGTGAGAAATGACATGAAATAAATGACAGACGTCTTAATAAAATTAATAGATCATGGCTTCAATAACAAAAACTATTCTAGTGAAGGATATTTTAAATATATACAAGATCTAATTATAAGCATAAATAATAATAGATAAATCATTGAATTTTTATAATTTATAGTTCAACTCACATCCATAGATAATAATTTAATTTAATGTGGGTCTAATTCATTATATATCTTAGTTTAAATGAAGATTGATATTAGAAACAAAAATTTTGAAAATATTAAGATCTAAAATACTTCTTTAATCGGATCTAATTTTGTTAGGTGTAATTTAAGTGGATCAGAATTTGATAATGTTAACATAAATGGGATGAATTTGAATGGAGCATTATTATTTAATTGTAAATGGAAGAATTTGAAAATACATGAACTTAACAAATTAGATGGTCATAGTGAATGTGTGATATCAGTCTGTATTTCTCCTGATGGAAATACATTAGCATCTGGTAGTCATGATAAGTCTATTTGTCTATGGGATATAAAAACAGGGTAATAAAAAGCCAAATTAAATGGTCATACTGAGATTATAACTTAAGTCTGTTTTTCTCCTAACGGAAATACATTAGCATCTAGTAGTTATGATAATTCAATCCATCTCTGGGATCTTAAAACCAAAAAAAAAATAGCAAAATTGGATGGTCATACTTGGTGGGTAATCTCAGTCTGTTTCTCTCCTGATGGAAATATATTAGCATCTGGTAGTTAAGATAATTCTATCCGATTATGGGATGTAAAAACTGGATAATAATTATCCTAATTAGATGGTCATACTAATTGTATCATATCAGTCTGTTACTCTCCTGATGGAACAACTTTAGCATCTGGTAGTTCAGATAAGTCTATCCGATTATGGGACGTGAAAACAGGATAAGAAAAAGCCATGCTGAATGGTCAAAGTGATTGTATCTCCTCTGTCTGTTTCTCTCCTGATGGATATACTTTAGCATCGGGTAGTATAGATAACTCTATCTGTTTATGGGACGTAAAAACAGGATAAGAAAAGGCCATGCTGAAAGGTGAAAGTGATTGCATCTACTCAGTCTGTTTCTCTCCTGATGGAAATACATTAGCTTCTGGTAGTTAAGATAATTCTATCCGATTATGGGATGTAAAAACTGGATAATAAAAAGCTATGCTTAATGGTCACACTAATAATATCTATTCAGTCTGTTTTTCTCCTGATGGAAATATATTAGCCTCTGGTAGTAAAGATAAGTCTATCCGCCTCTGGGATGTCAGAAATGAAAAAGAAATTTCTGCCCTTGATAAAACTTATAAAGATATTTTTGCTTAATTTAAAACACTACTTTTTTTAAACAATCCTTTTTCAGGTATTTAATTTTTTAATGATTATTTAGATTTTAATTATTCAATTCTAGTAATATCCAAAGACATAATATTAGAAACATAGGGGACATTTTTCTTGGAAGGGAAATTCATTAACCATTAAGGGAAAGATTTAACATCATTATTTCAATCCAAAAAAAGTTACATTTTGCAAAACATCATATTAAAGTGAAAATAATTTTTTTCAAGAACATTAGCAATATAATAACAATTTATTTCTTTATTTGATTAAGGCTTTATTCTTAATATGTACTTAAATTACAAGTAAAGTAAAATTCCACTTTTCACTAGAAGCCTAACTTTTTGATTTTCATTAATTCTTTTTTTTTTCGAAAACAACATTTAACAAATCATTAATTTTTAATTATATTCAAGAATGATTTATTTCCATCTCAATTGTATCGTATATTTGATTGATTTTT